CAGGAAGCCTGCCCTTCAGCAGCTTTTGGTGATTATAGACAAACAGTCCACCTGCAGAGAATGGTCTGAACTAAGCCCGTTTCCCTAGCTGAAAGTGTAGTAAGCCACTGTCAACCTTTGACTACATCTGACACTTCTCCGTCTCCTAGAACTTGTACCATTTCCAAGAAGAACAATTAAGGAGCACTACCGGGACCAGACAGAGACATCCAGCACTCTTCCTGGGCTTGAGCTCTGCCTTTTGCATGATGTAAAGTTAATGGCACCTTTCTTGTCCCATATTTTCGGTATTTCTCACCACAAAACTCAATACTTTTATAACTCGTTTTTCTGAGTTCATCTTTATTTAGCCACTTCTTCATATTCCACATGTACTATGATCAGAAAACAGCAGGGAATGGAGCTGTAGCAAACATCTTTAACTTTGTACATACAGATTTCAGAGAGAAAGAGAAAGTACGATTTCAGTAGTGGCTGATTCCATTTGCTGTCCCACTCAGGAGGAGATGGAAGATGCATTCCTTGTTCCTCCAGTCAGTCTCATTTCCCACAAGCCTCTCTTGTGGGAAGAGCATCCCATTGTACTATGTATCATTCTCATGCTTGAAGACACATACTTTATACGACAAGCCAACTACTTCATTTGGTCCACAGTTGAAGAAACAGTGATTCGTTCTGATGCTGGCAGAAAAAAAAGTGTATGTCAGATTTATTAAGAGATAGTTTGTGAGCTTGGCCCGGTGGCGTAGTGGTTAAGTTCACGTGCTCTGCTTCAGCGGCCCAGGTTCACAGGTTCAGATCCTTGGCGTGGACCTACACACCGCTCATCGAGCCGTGCTGTGGCGGCGTCCCACGTACAAAATAGAGGAAGATTGGCACAGATGTTAGTTCAGGGCCAATCTTACTCACCAAAAAAAAAAAAAAAAGAATTTGTCAGTCTCAAATGAGACTTCTCTTCCTAAGGGACTTTAAGAGTAATTTTGACTATGAGGTTTCTGCCTTGCAGGTTGCCAGTTATTTACCTTTTGGCTTTAATAGCAAGTTGCTATTAACTTCCAGGTTCTGAATATCTTGTGGTCATTCTTCTACAGTTTAGCACTAATATTCCATACTGAGTTAGAGTCAGTGAGTCATCCAATTTAAAATTTCTGTACAGAGATAGGCTTATAGTGAATGCAAAGGTAGTCAGTATTCCTAAGTAAAAATAACAATACTAATAGTAGTTAATGTTTCTTTAGCTCTTAATATAATACCAGACACTATGCTAAGATATGCTTTATATGTGCCATCTTGTTTTATCCTCAACAACCCTATGAAGTAGGATCTGTTATCCCGATGTTAAAGCACAGTTACTGACTTAGAGACAACCAAGGGAACACATACATACCTTCCTATGTAAATATTTCCTAAAACACAGATACTCCCAGGAAAGCAGCAAAGAATCATTGCAGAAGCAGAACACCAGGTGCTAATTAACATACAGGCTCTAGACAAGCTGTGTTTCCAAAGTTCTCATTCAGGAATGGGTTGTCCAGAAGTTGGAACGTATTTTCCCGAGGAAATGAGGTTATCACAACAAAAGCATTTTACCCATGCTGTACCTAAAGTAGTAATAACATAGACCCAAACCATTTTGTGTACCAACGTTTCCATGGAAAAACGCACTCTGAGTTTCCCTTTGGATGGTATGGACCAGCAGGGAAATGGCGACCCTATGCTAGAAGCAGTAGGCATTAGAAATGTTCAAAGTCTGAATCAATGGTGGCTCCCAAAGCCTGTGATGGGAGTTGATGGAGGGAGGAGGATGGAAAAGTGAATGGAGCTGAATACAAAGGGGACTCAGGTCAGGTGATCTTGGGTGAGGAACAAGAGAAAGCCTACAAAGGTGAAGGATGGGATAGGAATTCCAGAGAGCAGAGGAGAAAGAGAGTGTGGGGACCAAGAACTCATCAGGTCTAAACCCTCAGGGATTCTTCTCATTCCTTGCATATCTCCCTGTCCACTGCCTTTGTTCCTTCTGCTGACTCCAAAATTTTACCTACTTGCTTCCCTTTTTACTGTTAACACTCAGAGCTTCCTCTGTGATACTAAGACCCACGCCGTGGCTTTTCCTGCCTCAGCTGCTCCTAACGCAGGCGAATGGCCCTAACCGTTTTTAACTTCTGTAAAAGAAAGAACCCATCCTAGGCCCTCCAGAACTTTTCCTTTTTCACTTGGACCTAGAAGAGCAAATATCAGCCTACAGATACTTTGGGTGGTTTTTTGGGTCCATAAGGGGCTGAAATAACATGCATAGGCATAGGCGTTCTGGATGTAGCTCTCCAAGGCTGAGGCTTGTGGGAAAAGGGAGAAGCCCTCTCCTCCTTTTCCTTGTCTTTGTTTTTGCAGCTCCCGTGTCCTCAAAATGAAAGTGGAAAGGAGGGAGGAGCTCAGATTGCAGCTTGCTGGAGGGGAGGTCTCTAAGGCAGTGAGATCCTTGCATCACTTCTGGGGTGTATTCTCAAGGGGCACGTCTCCATCAGGGCTGTAGGGACCACCTGGGCACCTAAGCCTCTACCAGACTCTCCAAGTGCTCCTCAGACCACCTTCCTCTTTGCCCACTGGTCATGTTTCCCTGACTTCTCTGTAGATACGAGTCACCTGGGCACCTGGGAGCTATAGAAAGCTCAAGTTCTCAGGCCCTACCCCAGACCCAGTGAATCAGAATCTCCAGGGGAAGGGCCTGGAAAGCTGTATGATTAACAGGCACCCCAGATGATTCCTGTCAGGGACTTTTGGCAAATGCTGCTTGACTGCCCTCCACCTTGCTGGTCTTTAAGGGCTCCTAGGACATTCTGAGCCTCAGAATCATTATATACACTATTTCTTCTCCATGAAAAGCTCTTTCCTGTTCCCTACTCTTGGCTAATGCCTACTTCTCATAACTTCATGACTCGGCTGAAATCTGATTTCCTCAGAAAGGCCATCCTTGACCACTCTCCTCACCATCTAAATCAGGTTCCCTGTTTCATTCTCAAACAATGCTTCATGCTTTTTCTCCTTAGCATTTATCACAGTTGGTATCTTCCATATTTGCCTAACGTCTGCCTCCCCACTAGGACCAAACACAGGGAACGCTTTATAAGTGTTTTTTGCTTAAATGAATAAATGGATAAATAGTGCTGGGAGAAGGGTACTAAAGGTTGAGTTGGATGCTGCTCAACAAAATAAAAAAACTGAGCATATGAAAACTTTAGTCTCCCAGGTAAAATTTTTGTTTTTTGTGTGTGTGTGTGAGGAAAATTAGCCCTGAGCTAACATCTGTTGCTAATCCTCCTCTTTTTGCTGAGGAAGACTGGCCCTGGACCAACAGCCATGCCCATCCTCCTCTACTTTATATGTGGGTCCCCTGCCACAGCATGGCTTGCTAAGTGGTGCATAAGTCCACGCCCAGGATCCGAACCTGCAAACCCCAGGCTGCCAAAGTGGAGCATTCAAACTTAACCACTATGCCACTGGGCCAAACCCTAGGGGAAAATTTTTACACATCAACTAAAGTCAAGGTAAATGGACCCAACAAGTAAGTGTATTTATGGGCAATGGATCACATTATTTCAAAAGATATTTATTAAATACCTAATTGTGCAAAATGCAACTTTAGGAGCTATGGATACAACAGTGAATAAGACCGAAACGATCTTTGTCTTTATGGAGCTTACATTCTAGCAAGAATAACAGATAGTAAGCAACCAGTTACACAAGCTCATAATTATAATTTTGGTAAATGCAGTGAAAGAATTACAGAGCTGTAAGAACCCATGACAGAGAGACCTGGCATGATTGTAGGGCGTCAGGCTAGTCACAGAATTTCCAAGACATGTGGCTAAGGAACCTGGGCCCAAAGAATCCAGTGTACTCTGTCCTGTCTCTTGTCAAAGTTGACATGAGGGGAGATGCCTCTATGTAATGGTTTCTCAACCTCAGCACTATTAACATCTTGGGCTAGAAAATTCAAGTGTTTGAGGGCACTTTCCAGTGCACTGTAGGAGGTGTTTAGCACCATTCCTGTCCTTTACCCACCAACCCAGTAGATCCCATAGTTGTGACAACCACAAATGTCTCAGCATTGCCAAATGTCCCTTGTGAAAGGGCAGGGATGTGGGGCAAAATCTGTCCGTCCTCCCTCCCTCAGTTGAGAACCACTGCTCTTCGTGAAACTTGGTTTGTTTTGTTTTGTTTTGTTTTTTGTTTTTTTATTTTTTAAGCCATAAATTTTTTTTGCAGTAATATTGGTTTATAACATTATATACATTTCAGGTGTACATCATTATATTTCGATTTCTGTATAGATTACGTCATGTTCACCGCCCAAAGACTAATTACAATCCATCACTACACACACATGTGCCTAATCATCCCTTTCGCCCTCCTCCCTCCCCACATCCCCTCTGGTAACCACCAATCCAATCTCTGTCTCTGTGTGATTGTTTGTTGTTGTTTTTATCTTCTACTTATGAGTAAGATCATACAGTATTTGACTTTCTCCTGCTGACTTATTTCGCTTAGCATAATACCCTCAAGGTCTGTCCATGTCACAAATGGCTGGATTTCATCATGAAACTTGGTTTTTAAAAAATGTCTTTACTTATGATTTATCCAAGTGAGTACCAGGAACTTAATTTATTCGTTCACTAAACAAATATTTGTTGAGTGATTACTAGGTGCCAGGCACTGTTCTAGGCACTGGAGACCCAGCAGTGATCAAAGCCTGTGCTTTCTTGAAGCTACATTCCAGCGGGTGGAGATGGACAATGAATTTTAAGATATGCAGTATTTCAGAAGAAAGGATAAGTTGGTCATAGAAGTCTTTTCTGATAAGATGACGTGAACAAAGTCTTGAAAGAAGCACGGGAATGAGCCACAGGAGAGGGAGCACCAGGAGCAAGGGGCAGAGCCACTGGGGGCCTGTCCTTGATCTCGCCTGTCTGTCTGCAGGTCTAACCAAGCTGCTTGTGTTTCAGGGGCTCCTCCACAGAAGGGCAGCTGAATGGACTCCAGAGCAGCCTTAACTCTGCAGCCTTTGTGCCCATCACCAGCTCCACAGGTCAGTGGGCACACCAGCTCCTTCCGGGGGCGGGACAGCAGGGCGGGTGCTGGGCTTGGCACATTCTCTCTCCTGCCTCCAAAGAGAGCCCCACTTCAAACGAGGAAGCATCCAGTCTTTTGAAGCTTTGGCAAATGGGCATTTTGTTACCTACTTCATTCAAATGATGTTGACGGTCTAGGATTGAATGGTTTTCCAGAACTATTTTGGGGTAGATGAAATTTCCCAGTCTGGTAGAAGGTTGTCAGATTTGCAGCATTTACTAAAAATGCCTGTATTTGACTGGTGTTTCACTGTTTATGTAGTATTTCCACATGTGGTATCTCTCACTAAATCCTCACCACAACCCTGTGAGGTGGATCCTCTTGTCACCTCCACGTGAGGACACAGAGGGGCCTGTGGGAGATTATACCTGTGCACAGAGCCAGTTCTGGGTCCTGTCATGCTCATGTCATGGTCTGTTGCCAGGCGGTTCCCTAGAGCCTGAAGCCTCTCAGTGCAGGTACCTCTGTCTAAGTCAGGTAATGTTGTCCACTGATAGTTTTCTATGAGTAATAATTCATAAAAATACACTCATCAGTAATCAGAAAATTGAAGGAAAATCACTTGGATTCAATTCAACAAATATTTGCTATTGAGCACCTACTAGGGAGAAAGTCACCTGCTTGGCACTGAGGTACAGAAAGGGTGAACTAGGCAGTCCCTGCGTCAGGGGACTTACAGACTCAGAGGAGAAAAGTCAGCAGGGAGCGTGCTGCAGGGTGAGTGACTATCAGGTACTGGGGACACAGAATAACAATAGACGGCATTGGGGAGCATCCGCTATGTCAGGCACAGTTCTGAACACTTCACATGTAATAACTTGTTTGTTCACACAACAGGCATATAATATAAGAACTGTGTTCCCCATTTTATGGCTGAAGAAATAAAGGCACAGATTATGAAACGTATCTGAAATCTCACAGCTAATAAATGATGGGGCAGTATTTGAACCCAAGCCACCTAGCCCAGGCTCTTTAGGGACTGGGGAGGGCTTTCTAGAGGAAGAAACTTCAAAGCTGAGGTTTGAATGTTGACCAGGTCAGCCAGGAGAGGGGAGGCGTAGGGTGGAAGGAGGTCCAGGAAGAGGGAACAGTGTGTGCAAAGGCCGAGGGTCGGGGTGAAAATGTACTGTGTTCTGGAGCCCTCACGTGTCAGTGTGGCTGGGGACTAGGGCCTGAGCAGGGGATGCCAAGAGAAGAGGCTGGAGAGGTAGCAGGACCAGTCTGAGCCATGTAGGGAACTTGGTCCTGAGAGCGGTAGGGAGCCATTAAGGAGTTTAAGGCTGGGGAGTGTGCGTGTTGCAGGGGTGGGGGGTGGGGGGGGTGAGATAATACACCTTAAAATGATTAGGAGATGGCTGAGAGGCCTAGTTAGTTTGACTGTATCACGGGGGTCATTACGTATATCTCAGAGGCTTACTGTGAGGATTAAAGGAAGCAATATAGAGAGGAAGGGTCTGTAACTACACCCAGGTCAGGTTTAATGTGATCAGAGTGTAAGGATTTTTTTCTCCACTTAAAACCTTAAAACCTGAATTCAAGAAATATTTGATGAATATCTACATGCCCCCCCACCCCCCCAAAAAAAAGAATTACTAGAACATGGTAGTTATTTTTAAGGAAGTAAGATTTCCACCTGAAACTGTTACAGACTGAGAAGTGGGTGGCTAAGAGAATCGTGGATTAGTCGAAAAGATTTCCATGGGATACAGCTGTTAGAGCCCCTTCAGCTCTTCAAATTTCCTGGAGCTGGAGAGATTTACAAAGCTTAGGAGATCCAGGAATCCTGCCTGTTTCATTTGCATGTCTAATTGGTAAATTAAGTACAGAATTGAATTCTTTGCATGCACTACGGCTGAGGAAGTTGGAAATTTGACCCAGGTGGGTCATACTTTCAGCATCTTGATAATGTATTAATATTTCCTGGCAGTTACTTAGAAGCTTTTGTAATGGTTGTAGTGAATTTGGTATCAGCATAAAACCACAGAACAAAGAGAAGTTGTACTTCTCCATGGCTTCTTGTGTCTACCACTTTTCCCTGCTTCTACCTTAAGATAAGCGTATTATTCTTCTCACCTTGTTGAGATAGCCTGCTATTTACTACTTTTGTCTCCAAATGACTCTGGGCCTCTAAAGTCCCTTGAATTTGTTTCTATTCTGTGACTTTCCTGGTGCTCCTGATCCTTGGTTAAGGAAACACTGATGAGCATGATATAGTAAGGCTCAGGCATTTTCCATATTCCCAATAAACATTTTACCTTAGCAGTGTAATAGTAACTAGTCCTGTTAGAGTTGTTTATACAGCTAGTCCATAACTACCTGCACTTCAGTGTTTCAACTACAAATCATGTGTTTTTCTGTATTACATGTAGATTTAAAGCGGTTATTCTAAGGGTATGCTATAAAAAGGGGAAGATGAGATTGCTATTAGAAGCGTTTTTCTTTAAACCCACAAGCTGGGAGGACAACCTCCATAATAAGTCAAAAAGTTTACACGTGTGTCTGAGAGTTGGGATATTTGTGCCTATACAGGAATCCCTAAACTGATTTGAAAGGTATTTAGCCCCTGTCTGCTCCAGTTAAGTCAGTTGGTTAAACATGGTATTATTGAGTGCCTCAATATAGCAAAAGTCTGTTTCCTGGCCCCTTGACCCTTCCCCAAGTCTAGCCCACCAAGCCTTAAAGCTGTGTGACTTCGTTCATCAGACAGTCTGAATGAGATAGTGGTTCATCCCAGGGCACTGTTGAAAAACAACTGAGTCCTTTCCCACTGATGGTGGCCTGCTGACCTTTTTATTATGAACTTTAAATGAGTTAGTGAATGTGAAAGCGCCTAGCGGGTGCCTGGAATGCTCCATGCATGTTACCTTTGCTTGACTTTCCTACCTCAGGCTATATATTCTGAGTTTGCTATGGAAGGGAAGGTGTAGAGTCAGCAAATTTGGAAATTTGAGAAGGAGCCTGCAGTGAGGGCATTGGCCTTCCTCCTTTATAACCATGGCATTCTTCTCGAGTTCTGAAGTGGTGATGGTGAACTAAAATAGCAGAGAGCAACAGATTAGATAACTGGCATTTCTCTCATGCTGATTTGATAGTGTAAACTACCATTATTGTGGGTCTGAGCCATACCAGCTGCCCTCATCCCTGTCCCTTAGCTTCTGCCTAAGCCTTTCCTGTCCTAGAGCCCAGCCTCTACCACCCCCACCCAACTATTTTATTTTTATTTTATCTCTTATTGGTCTATAGTTAGTTGATGGAGGGGACCTTACCACCTTTTGAGCGCCAATGCTGGATTTCATTTCCAAGAAGTGAGAAGCCATGTCCTTATTAAATTCTTATTATTTGAGTCCCTGGTAAAAAGCACTTGAGCTCCGCGCTCTTCGCTTGGAGGTGGGGCAGCCACACATCATTGTGACTCTGCCTGCCCACTTCATTGTCTCTCAGTGGGACAACAAGAGAAAGGAACTTATTTTAATATAAAGTAAACCCAGTGGAGCTTAAACCCTAAGGATCTAGAAGTCACTTTAACTTTCAAGTGAAATTATTTGCCTGGCAGCTCTCAGTGGAGTGACCTATTTTCACTATTAGTTTCTTATTCTTTGCACAATGCATTATATAGTTGTTGGAGATCCTGGGTGGATCTGGAGTATAACAGATTAATAATAAAAATAAATAAAGCTCTTGAGATGCTTGCCCTAGTGTCTTATACCTTTTATTGCTCCCAAAATGTTCTTCTCTCCCCAGAGCCAAAGGGATGAGAATTTGGATTGATTACCCATTCTTACACTGTTAGAAAGCAGAAGAGAGAGCCTGGATTGGTATTGGGCAGGAAATGGGGTGTCAGCATCTGGGAGAACGTTGATCCCCTAAAACCTAGTTTTAGATTTGACTTCTTGTCCTTTCAGCCAAGATCAAATAAAGTGTTAAGTAGGGATTTTTGTTTTTTTTTTTTTTTTTTTACATTTTTCAGGATCTTTGGAAGCTCCCCAAGTTATTTTCGCCAGATCCAAACCCTTGCCCACACAATCTGGAGCCCCTGCTACAGTTATAGGACAGAGAAAATCAAAGTCGGTGAAGTCAGGGCCAATTTAAGGTAACAGTAAGAATAAGAGCATATTTTTTTATTGTAACTTGCTGTCTTGATGCTACAGCAAGAGATTTAACAGCTATCAAGAGAAGTGATAGTTTCTCAAAATGACAAGGAAATTGGCATTTTATAAAACCAGAGCTCAGAATGACTCGCCAAAACTGTGGCTAAAAGTTAAGCTACCAATAGCTTGCTTCTGTAATAGCCTACCAGTAGGTGGCGCTGTGGCAGTAAGAAATTTCCTCACTGTTACGGAAACTTATATGGGGACATTGAAGCCAATCAAAGAAAGAAACTAAAGCCATAACTGAGTTATCACAGGTAAAGTGTAAAAGAATATATTGGAAAGCATGATATTTGAAGGTCAAATTGCAATAGCCTCTAAAGAGAATGAATATTTATTATTAAAGATATTTATTAGGGGCTGGACCCATGGCATAGCGGTTAAGTGCACATACTCCGCTGCTGGCTGCCTGGGTTCGGATCGCAGGCGCGCACTGATGCACTGCTTATCAGGCCATGCTGTGGCAGCGTCCCATATAAAGTGGAGGAAGGTGGGCACAGATGTTAGCCCAGGGCCAGTCCTCCTCAGCAAAAAAGAGGAGGCTTGGCATGGATGTTAGCTCAGGACTGATCTTCCTCGCAAAAAAATAAATAAATAAATAAAGAAGGCTTTTAGACTAGAGTTGGGTAGTTTGTGAACTGGGACTTTCAGATAATGGGAGACAAGAAGGGAATAAAATTTCTTTTAAATTTTTGGTGAAGTCGATTATGTTTTTTTCTGAGTTATTTAAGATAAACATATGCTATAATTGGCAGCAAAACAAACTATAAACCCCATCCTACCACCCATCCAAAAAAATGCTCCTACA